TGGAACCCAGGGCCTTGCACAGGATAGGCTACTGTGGGCTTCTGTGCCAGCTCAGTCCTCTGTTTTTACATGACCAAGTTCTCCTTGAGCAGCTCTGGCCTCTTCCCTGCTTACTGTAAAACCACCAGTCATACTGGACTAAGAGCCAACTCTACTCCCACTGTCACTAACTCAATAGCAACAGCTCCATCTCCACACACACACATATTCTGGAGTATTTGATGATAAGACTAAAACACACATTTTTGGGAATATAGTTCAACTCACACCAGAGGGTCTTGGGCTGTCATCTCTAAATTTTTGCCTCTTTGAAGATTTTCTGCAAAATTTAAATGAACCACAGAAAGAATTATTCCCTATAGCACTTGTCGGTAGAGTTTTTTCCTTCCTCTCTCTTCCGCTCCCTGTCTGTCTCCCTCTCTTTTGAGATTGGTTCTTGTTATGCAGCTCAGGATGGCCTTGAACCCATGATCCTCTTTTTGCCTCCCAAGAACTGGAATTAGACATACCGCAAGCCACCAAGCTTGGCTTAACTGACATTTTTAACAAGCTAGCAGGGGAGCCCAAACTGCTGGTTTGAGGGTCACATGCCTGAGAACCAGTGACTGAAAAGGGGATTTGGCAGTATTTTTTTTTTTTTCAGCAGAGGGCTATACCACGTGGAAAGATGTGAGCTACTTCAGGATTTCCTTATTGTGGACTCTATGTTTGTTACTTAATTAGGCCACTATAGGCCAAAACAGCCCTTGACAATTCATAAGCAAACAGATATGGCTTTATTTGCAAAATGGTTTCCTAGCTTGACTAGACACATAGGCTTTTGTATGCTACCTTGATCTAGAATGATGCTCCCCTCTTTTTTGGGTAGTGGTGGTGGAGTTTTTCAGACCACTGAGTTTTGGAAGTACCCAGCTCACTTCTTTAAGAATGTCTCATTATGTGAGATTGATTATTTTATCCCAGGTGGATTTAAATTTAAAGCCTGGAAAGAATACTGGATAAGTCAAAGTATGTATGGTAGGGAAAACTGCAAAAATCGGAAACATCAAAAATATTGCTGGTGTTGGTGGCTTGTGTCTGTAATCCTAGCTATTTAGGAGGCTGAGATCTGAGGATTGTGGTTTGAAGCCAACCTGAGCAGAAAAGTCCATGAGTCTCTTATCTCCAAGTAGCCACCAGAAAGCTGGAAGTGGAGCTGTGGCTCAAGTGGTAGAGTGCTAGCTTTGAGCATAAAAGCTCAGATACAGTGCCCAGGTCCTGTGTTCAAGCCCCAGGACTGGCATACACACACACACACACACACACACACACACACACACACACACACACACGCACGCATGCACGCACGCACGCATGCACACATGCACACACACAATATTGATGAGGACTGGGGATGTAACTCAGTGGCAGAGAATTTATGTAGTATGTTTAAGGCCCTGGGCTCAGCCCCAGCACCACAACATAATAAAATTGGTCCACTTCAATGGAAACATTTGGGGTTCTAAAAGTTCCCTGTCCTAATGGCAGGGACTCTATTCCAAGACCCCTAGAACATGACTGAAGCCACACAAACAGTAAGTCTGTATGTTTTCCACACACACACACACACACACACACACTTACAATAGAGCTTAATTTGTAAATTAGTCATAGTAAGTGGTTAGCAATAACTCATAATAAGAGAACTGTCATAAGCATTCATTGTAATAAGTTATTTAAAACTTATGAATTGTTAAGTGATATAAGCCAAGCTCAGAGAGACAAATGACACGTTTTCTCTCATATGCAGAGGCTAGATCTAAGATACACAGGAACAAGATAAATTATCCAGGACTCCAGGCATTCACACACAGTGAGACCAAAGGACATACTCGTAGGAGAGGAACACAAAGGCGCAATGCCTTTGTGCCTCTGATCATACAAAATAACATTTATCAAAATGAACTCCAGGAAATGGAAACAGAAGTTTTTTTGTTTTTATCTTATTTGTTCATTTATTCGTGAGGTTTAGGAGAGCATGTGAAAATGAAGGGACAAAGTGTGAACAAGTGCAGTGGTGGTACTCACTGGACACTGTTGAAAATGAGCTATACAACTTTGGGTGGGAGGGAAAAACTGGGAGAGAGCAAGGGAAGGGGTGATGTTGTTCAAAAAGAATTGTACTCTTGCCGGGCGCTGGTGGCTCACGCCTGTAATCCTAGCTACTCAGGAGGCTGAGATCTGAGGATCGCGGTTCAAAGCCAGCCCGGGCAGGAGAGACTGTGAGACTCTTATCTCCAATAAACCACCAGAAAACCGGAAGTGGCACTGTAGCTCAAGTGGTAGAGTGCTCACCTTGAGCGGAAGAGCTGAGGGACAGCGCTCAGGCCCAGAGTTCAAGCCCCATGACCGACCAAAAAAAAAAAAAAAAGAATTGTACTCTTTACATGACATGTAACTGTAACCACTCTACATCACCTTTATCATAACATAAAAAACTTAGGAATTTAATATCCTCAGACCAAGGTTGACTGTGTAAGATAGAAACTCTAGAAAGCAAAACCATAAACGAAGGAGACAGGTGTAACCAGTTCTATGGGGACTGTGCTTTTGATTGCCTGTGGGGTGTTTCAGAAGCTGTGAAGTGTGGAGTCCTGATGATTGCTGCTGATAATGATCACTATCAGACATACAACTTCTGTCTGGTATGCAATTGTCTTCTGACCTGTCCTCCATCAAATACCAATCTCACTGCAGTATCCCTGGCATTCTATACACCTGGTGGATTTTCCTTTGAACTAATTGCAACATGTTTACTATTTTCATGTTAGGAAGTTAAAGAATATCTTTGCAGGAGCTGGGAATGTGGCCTGGTGGTAGAGTGCATGTCTAGCATGCATGAAGCCCTGGGTTCGGTTCGTTAGTACTACATAAAGCAAATCACAATTTACAAAAAGCAAAAATAAATAAAAGAAATAAAATTAAAAGAGGCAAAACATCTTTTTGTTTTTGTGGGGCCTGAACTCTGGGCCTGGGTGCTGTCCCTCAGCTCTTCAGCTCACGGCTAGCACTCTACCACTTGAGCCACAGCACTACTTCCGGCTTTTTTCTTTTTGCTTATGGGGTGCTGAGGAATCAAACCCAGGGCCTCATGCATGCAAGGCAAGTGCTCTACCACTGAGCCACCTTCCCAGCCCCCTGGAATGATAATTTTTGGGACAAAGTTAACATTCTGGTTTACAGCAAATGTCTAATGTTTTCCAGAGATGACCCTTGTCTATCAGTTATAACACTGGAGTCATATAACATGAACTCGTTTGGAGATTCTAGCAGAAGGGAACAGCACCTACTACATCCTTGACCCAAGAACAGTTCTTTTCTCTTAGGGAAGCTCATACCCTTCTACTGCAGGTAACTCTGGGCAGGACACAGATGAAGCAGCAGGGGTAGGGGCAGGGGAAACCTGCCTAGCCAGTTGAATCGAGCCTGGTGATGAACAAGCAGAGTGACATTTGTCACAGCCAGGTCTCCCTCTTCTCCATCAACCCTTCCTGATGGTCACAGTTGATGTTCAGAGAGCTCCAGGGCTATACAGTACAATACATACAGTCATAGGTTCTGACTGGGCACAATCCTGGCTTTGTTCACCGGCTATGTGATCATCTGGCATCTTAACTTCTCTAAGTCTCAGTTTCCTTCTCTATAAAGTGGGTGAAATAAAGGAACTTCCCTCAAAGGGTTGTATTAAGGTTGAATGAATAAATGAGTGTCAGAACACAACTTGGTACATGATTACTTGCTCAACAGATGTCAGGTATTTTGGATCTTGATTATTTCTTGAATCTCAGTTCTGCCACACCTCAGCAATCTTTGGGGATAGTGTGACCTAACATCCTGGTGTCTATAAGGTTCCATTTCAAAGGTTTTTGAAGATTCACACCTAAGTACTTAGCAGTGTGTGTGGTATGGTATAAGCACTAAAAAGATGAGCGGGAATGATGGTTCTGCATCATTTTTTTTGGTGTTCTGTGATGCCACGGGCGGGCCAGGGTTTTGTGCACACTAGGTAAGTGTTCGGTCACCCCAAACTCTCACCTCCCTCCCTCCTTCCCTCCCCCCCCACTCTTTCTTTTGAGGCACAGGGGATGAAATCCAAGGCTTTGGAAAGATCTCCTAGGCCAGTGCTGTCAGTGAGTTCTGCTCCTTTCTGATTTCTCTTTCTTATTTGCTCCAAAGGAGGAGTGAAAGGAAAGTGTGTTGACTTGTCCTCTTTGTCTCTCCACGTCCATTAGCTGACAACTGTGCACATACTACGGGTTCAAGATCCTGGAGCGGAAGAATTAAAACACTTCGGCCGGGCACAGCGGTGGACACCCGCGACCCTCGGCCTGGGGAGGCAGCGCGGGCTGGTGCGGAGAGCCCCGCGGAGCACCTGCTGCTCGGACTTGTGTGGACCACGCGCCGGGCTGCAGGAGGCCACCCCGCAGGAGGTGGAGCCGCCCGCAAATCCGCTCCCACCCCGCAGCCAGCCGCGCTCAGCAGCACCGCCCCCGGGCCACGATGCCGCAGCGAGCAGTGGCGACGGGGGAAACCGAGGCCGCAGCCCGCCCCGCAGCCCGCCCCGCAGCCCGCCCCGCAGCCCGCGCCGCAGCCCGCGCCGCAGCCGCGGCCCCGGCGGACACCTGGCGCCGGCGCCGGGCGGTTTCCGGCCTGGGGCGCGCGGCGCTCACGTGACCCGCATCTAGGCGGAGCCTGGGCGGGCCGCGATCACCTGAACAAGGGAGTCACGTGAGCGGGGCGGGGCCGGGCGGAGCGAGCCGCGGTCACGTGACGCGGTGCCGTGGACCGCCGCGGAGCCCCGCCGAGCCGCGCTTGCCCTCGGGCTCTCTGCCTCCCGCGGGCTCCGGCGCCCTCTCCGGCCCCTCCTCCGTCCCGACGCGACGACTCGGTCCCGGGCGCGGCCCGCAGCCGCCGCGCGCGCCGTGCGTCCCGCGTCCTCCGCGCCGCCGGGGCCCGGCTCGATGGGCGCCGCCGCCGCCGCCGCCGCCGGCCGGAGCGCCCACCTGGGGCCCGCGCCCGCCGGCCGGCCGCCGCCGCGCGCCCTGCTCCTGCTGCCGCTGCTGCTGCCGCTGCTCGCCGCCACCGCCCCGGGGGCGGCGCAGGCCCCGGCCGCCGGCTTCCCCGAGCTGTGCAGGTGGGGCCCGCGGGGGGCGCGGCCGGGCCGGGGGTGGGGGGTCTGGGAGCGCGCGCGCGGAGGGGCCCGGGCTCCCCGCCCCCCGGGGAAAGTTGGCTGCGTGACGGCGCGGCGGGCCGCCCCGCGCCCGGACACTCGTGGCTGTCACCGAGTAGGGGTCCGCTTTGTGTGCGAGGCCCCCCCCCCCCCCCCGGCCCTCTCCGCCGCCCGGCCCGGGGGCGCCGCGCCGCCGCCAAGTCTCAGCCCCGCGGCCGCCCTCGCAGCCGTGCGTCGGCGAAGTTGGACGAGGCCGGGACTCCAGCTTTTGTTGGGATTGCTTTTGTTGCCATGCACGTTTCTCTCTCCCTCCACCCTCACCCCCCCCCGAAGTTCCATCGGAGGGGCTTCGCGGGCACCCCGAGTGTGGACGGGCTCGGCCGGGAGTCCGGAGCCTGCGCGGACGGCCTGGCGCGGGGGTGCGGGCTGACCTCTGCCGTGTGGGCTTCTTTCTTTCTGAAGCCTTTAGGCCGTAGGTGACTTTTTCCCTCCTTTTGATGGGGGTTCTTCGGGGGGCGGGGCGGTCACCCTCGATTGGCTTTCAAGATTTCTACCCTTCCCTTCTCCGAGCCAACTTCCTGTCTGGCTGCTCCCATGATGTCATTGTCTCCGGGTGGATTTGTTCCAGTGGAGGCTTCTCTGGGAACCACGATTGTGTAACCTCTCGCCCTGTGGAGGTGTGCTGCTGTCCGACCAGGCCTCCGAGCCGCTGGACTGGAGAAACTTCTAACTCCAGATGTTTTCTCAGTGACCTTTGGACCGTTTAGGATGATGGGAAATCCAGCTCTCAGTTTTTCAACTTTGGTTAAAAAAACCCCCACAAAAACAAGGAAGCCGTACAGAAAGTTCTGAAGAGTTATGTCGCCCCCGTTGGCAGCTGGAGGGTGACTCTTTCGAATGAAGGAGTCCAGGTTGGGACTACTCTTCAAGCTGAACTTCAAGTTCATGATGGTTTATGGGGACTCCTAATCTCATTTCAGAGAAAGTTCTACTTCTGCCTGGCCTTGAGAGCTTGAGACACTATTTTAAGGACATTGAGGCTGACCCTCATGGGCAGCCTTTGGCCATCCCTGGTTTTTTTTTTTATTCCTTCTCCCTTTTGAAAAGACCAGGAAGATGGAAGGTGGTCTGCTGCACCAAGTATATGGACAGGCTAGCTTTCATCCAAGGATACCTTGATGCTCCTGTAAAGTTGCCCACTTAAACAAGTTCAGGCTAGGGCTGACATTCAAAGCTGCTGTCCCCTCAGAGCAGTCAGAAGAAATGGGCTCAGTGGGGTCATGGCTCAGGCTTAACCTTGTTAGCTCTTAATAATTAAGGTTAAAGTTGACCTGGAGGGCAAACTGGCACTGGCTGATTGAGGGCTTCTCACTTGTGTACGGCGTTAGTCATCAGGGTGTCTAGAACCTCATCTCCAGGGCCCCTTGTCTCGCACAACATAGTGTGGCCTCTGTCACATGAGGGTATAACAGAGAGGGCTCAAAGGTTGAGGTTCACAGTTGGTGTAAGATGTGCCCTCTAAAGTTGTCACATATGTTCAGTTTAGCTGAACAACATAAAGTTGGTATGTACAACACTCAGTTTCCTCTGAAGTGGTTTCACACACCCCTTCTTCCACCTATAACTGCCCTGGAGTCTGATCCTTTACCACTTGCAATTGCTGCTGTAAACTCCATTCCTGCAGAATGAAGTTTCCCTTCAGTCGCTGTTTTGCTCCTTGAAGATCTGGAGATCAAACAAGACTCTTAGGCACCCTAGTAAAACACCACTGAGTCATACAACTAGCCCTAGGGTTTTGGGTTCCCAATTTTTTTCTTTTATTACTTTTTTTTTTTTTCCACTCAAGGTCAAGAGTTCTGTGTTCCTATTTTTAATCCACATTTCTTCTAAATGCTTTTAACGATTTTTCTTGGGACTGTGAGCCATAATCTGAGTACTGCTATGAGATAAGATGGGCTCCAAGGTCCTTAACTCTAGTACATAGGGAATGGGATGTGAGCAGATCTTTTAAATTCATTAGGGAAAGTCCTACCTAGCAGCCCCAAGGCATGCTGTTATACAGTCTTAAACTCACCTGGGCCCGGAGTGTGGAGAGTGAACTCCTATGGTTGTTGGCCTTTGTTTTTGCTGCTTGGTCACAGATAAGTACTTCCTCACTGACAGAAGGATCACATTGCTTTTTTTCTTTCCAATACTGAGTATTGAATCCAGGGCCTCGTGCTTGGGCTTTACCACATGGGTCATCTTCATGTTTGGAAATGGGTTGAAATGTGGAGTGCTTCTTTCACACTAGAAGCAATGTTAGTGGTTGCTCTCTGAGCCCCCACTGAGTCCTGGAACCTCGTATTCTGCAACGGTATAAATGGGACCAGAAACGGTAGGCACACCTTAGATAGGTCTCTCTTGACAGTGGTAGTTAGTGCTCATGTCTATAATGGGTGCAGTTGAGTTTCTGGGAAGCCCAGCTCTAGAACCTAGCAAGGATATATATATATATTTTTTTTTGCTCGGTCATGGGGCTTGAACTCTGGGCTGTCCCTCGTCTCTTCAGCTCAAGGCCAGTTCTCTACCTCTTGAGTCACAGTGCCACTTCCAGTTTTTTGAGTGGTTTATTGGAGAATCTCATGGCTTTTCCTGCCCGGGCAGATCTCAGCCTCCTGAGTAGCTAGGATTACAGGCGTGAGCCACCAGCGCCCTGCGAGAGTATATTTTTCATCTGTCTGGTACAACCCAAGAGGGAATCCTGGCCTGCTTCTGGTGTGTTGTATATGGTTGGGGCAGAGCTGTTAGGTAAGCATGGCCCTCACCGTTTGGGGAGGGCAGAGGGAAGCAGAGTGGAGAGCCCCTCTCAGCAGCAGCTTTCAGGACTGCCAATGCATGGAGAGGCCTGACAGGCAACCCCTCCCTGTGTGGCTGGTTCAGAGCAGCACTTTAGATGAGTACCTGTTCTTAAGGGGTTCGATAACACGTTTAGGAGTCTAGAGGATTATGGCACCAGGTGAGCTAGTGCCGGGGAAGAACTTAGTGATTCTTGCTCAGTGATTCCAGCTCCAGTGATTCTTACTCAGCTGTTCCTCAGGAGCTGATGTATCAGCTGGTAGAAGGATCTTGTTTCCTGAAGCCGGCAGGATTGGTGGTGGGACTGGGTACACTTCATGGGCAGGAAGGAGGGTCCATGGGCAGGACCAGTGGAAGCCAGGATGGAGTTCAGCTGACAAAATAGTAGAGGTCAGGCTGTGCAAAGCCACTGAAAGTGACTGATGGTCTCGGCTAGCCAGTGGCCTTAATTACTATTTTATGGCTTAAACTGTATAAAATACCATGTAAGTTTTGTAGCCTACAAGTTTCCTCCTTTTATTTGGTCTTTTGTAGCTTTTTTTTTTTCCCCAGGGCTGAGGACTGAACCCAGGGCCTTGTGCACGCAGGGCAGGCGCCCTTCCGCTGGGCTAAACCCCCAGCCCCTCCTCCTTTTATTTGGGTGCTAACATCCTTACTTGTGAAAGTCTTTGCACTAATTGTGAGGTCCAGCTTGATTTAGGTAGTTGACTACTTCAAAATTTATACAGCACAACTTTTCCCCAGATTGTTTGGGTATGAATGTTGGATTCTTAAAAAATTGTATTGAAGACAAGAGAATAATGAAGCCAGCTGGGAGCTGAAATCATTTTGGTTGTTATCGCTTAAGAGATTTATATTTTTGTTCTCTTGCAATTTTTCCAAAAGAACAATATTTAATGAGACTAATTTGGGCCACATGCTCACCTGGATCACATCCATTTGTGTGTGTTTCTTTTACACACATCCATTTGTGTGTAAGTCTAAAATAGTTAATTATGATTATATTAGATTTTAGGCCTTCTAACAGCATTCCCTGGAAATAAATGGCTAATTGGGCTTACATCTTTTTCCCCCCACCAATGTTTGTGGTTTGTTTTTATCTCAGTGTTGGGATGGAACCCAGGGTCTTACATGTGCTAGGCTAGTGCTCTATCACCAACCTCACATCCTCAGCTTGAGAGAAGGATTTTTAGAAGAGAAGATCATGGAGGTGTTTTTCATTTTGGTCTTGATGTATCAATCGCATTGTACTGGACAGAGAGAATTAAGCATGGGCTATTAGTAGATGCTAGCCGCTCCTGTAATCCCTTTCTCGGAGTGTTCCAACTACTGAGACTTCTTGATTATGCCCCAGCTGGCCTGGGTGGTGAATGAAAAGGTGAAAATAGCTATTTGAGAGTTGGGTGTCAGTGATTCACACCTTTAATCCTGACTACTCAGGAAGCTGAGATCTGAGGATCTCTGCCAGCCGGGGGTCCCCTGAGACTCTCATCTCCAATTAACCACCAGAAAAATAGTAGTGGTGCTGTGGCTCAAAGTGGTAAAGTGAGAAAAAGAGCTCAAGGACAGCACCCAGGCCCTGAGTTCAAGCCGCATGACTGACACCCCCCCCCCCAAAAAAAAAAAACAACAGGAAATACCTATTTGATTTTATGGCGTCTGCCAAATTATAACTTGAAGTGTCTTTTATTGTGCATCCCCACCATTGTTTCATAGTCTGTCAATACTTGGCTTTACCATCCTTAGTTTTAGTCATTTTAGTGGCTTTGTAAAGGTATCTCAGTGGTGTTTTAATGTTCATATTCTGGGTGGTTTACAATGTTGAAGAAGAAAAGAAGGTCTTTTCTTGTGGCTATTGGCATATCTAATGATCTTGAGTGTATCTTACTGATCTTGTGGACATCTTCTGTATTGTCTTTTTTGTTGTTTTTGTTGGTTGTGGGGCTTGAACTCAAGGCTTGGGGCCTGTCCCTGAACTTATGCTCTGCCACTTTGAGCCATAGTTCCACTTCGGGTTTTCTGCTGGTTAATTGGAGATAGCAGTCTCACGATCGCCTGGGCTGGCTTTCAACAGCGATCCTCAGATCTCAGCCTCCTGAGTAGCTAGGATTATAGGTGTGAGCCTG